ATAGGGTTTGAGTCACTTAACCCCCTGCGGTATTGGTGACCCCGACGTGATTTAAACACGCAACCTTCTGATCTGGCCTGCCGTCCCTGCGTAGTTGCTTACTTCCCGACCTGTCCCAGCGTATTTCGTTATTTTCCCTGCGCATTTGGCGTTTTACGGACGTGTCCCTGCGTATTTGGTGATTGGCATTCGCGACTTACTGCCGATAGCCCATTCAGTCCAGGCCATGGTTACTTCCCTAATCCAACAGAGATGTCCCTGCCCGAGTACCAACATCCCCAGACCTTCTTCTCAACAGCTGGTACTACTTCCACCGCCAATGGTACCCTTTGGTTCAACTCATACTGATACGGCATACTGATTTGCTGTTGACGTTCTTACCGGACCACCGGTTTTCTTCAGCCGCCCCTACATCCTGGCTCATTCCAGCCACAGCCGCCCACGCTGTTTTGCCACTTTACGTTGGTACGTATCTCCCTCACTTAACTTAACTATTGTTCCTCCACTCGGATTCTTTCAGTATCCTTGCTACGGTCTCGCGGGGGAGTACTTGTAGTGGGTCGCTGCCTGCCAGGATTCTGGTAAAGACACTTTTGGCTTGGTCATAATGAGGGCAAAATAAAATAGTTTGAGATCCCAAACAGGTAAATGTCTATCAGATGGTAAAAAAGAAAATCGTGTAATGTCGGAAAAGTCCCCACTGTGGTTAGAACACTTTTCTGACTATAGTATAGGGCGGAATCCAATATAAACAATAACCGTAAGAGAAAGACCAAACTGTTAAAAGTATGTGAAATATTACGGAAAACAGTTACAACCTGAATGCTGGTGTACACGAGGATAAAAATCTACCGGTGTTGTCAGTTCATTCGAATTCCAGGGATAATCAAGGAAAAAGGAGGCTATAATGTTGAAGGTCACAAATAGTCGGGGACCGCTACAAACTCGAGCCAACCAGAGTGCACCACTTCGTGCTTAGCCGCAGAAACAAAGCATGCACTTGGCTTCCGGTAATCCCCTAGGCTCTCGTTACTTCCTACGTGGCACTGTAGCTAGCGGTTGCTCGCTCGTCAAATTCCTCTTACCTATTCTCCATTCCTTCTGTACATAATAAACTGTTCCTACCATTCTGCCATATGCCTGATCTTCTCTTAAGGAACCGGGTCTTGAAGATCGCAGTTACTAGGGTTTAACTTACTGAATCCCATGTGCTAAGGTCACGAGTTCGAGCTTCAGCTGGTGCACCACTTGGGGTTGGGTATGACAGGCTGACGACGGCTAATAGACCGGAAATGTCCATTCCAGTCTCCGTTGGCTTTACTGGCAATAATATCTACAGTAGATGTGTTGTCTAATGGAATTTTAACCGAAATTCTGAAATTTAGTTTCAATTAGAAAGGATCTCTTAGGTTCGGTTGTAATGGGGATTATTCTGCAATATGATTCTGAAACATTTATGTAACTCCGAGATTTCTGCTTGTAAATCAGCTTCTGGCTACCTATTAATCTATAGTCGGAAAAAATGATTATTTAACTTTTATGAACCCTCTCCAGTGATTTCCAATACTTTTATAAATATATTTTATAAAAAACGCGCAAATAAGTAGTCTTTTAAAAGCATTTTGAGAGCATTTATGTCTCCTCAGGGTTTTTTAATCGAAAAATGTTTTTTAGCTTTAAAAGCGGTTCTGTGGTGGTCCCCGACTATTTGTCACTTTTACCATTCTCGCCTCCATTTTCCTTGATTGTCCCTAGTCTTCCAATGCACGGACAACACCTCTAGGACTTATCCGCGTGTACACCCAGATTAAGTTTGCAACTATTTTCCGTAATATTTTACATATCTCTAAGTTATTGTCCTCTTGGTGATTGTGATATCATACTTTGGGTTTCGCACTATATGTGCATTGAGTCAAAGTGGTCTAACCACATCGGTTACCCCGACGTGATCTCAATTCCCGATGTTTCGGCTCCAACTGTTGTCAGGGCCTCCCTTAGCATTTGGGCTGCCATTTGTAGTGCTCCCTCTACCATTACGACTGATCTAGGTGCCCAGTTTGAGTCGTTACTATTCCAGACTCTCCCCTCTCTGAGAAGAGGAAGACTCGATCGCTGGGACAATACGTTTATTCGTCTGACGTTTCGACATCC